AACACAGCAATATGTATATCCACAACAACAACAGCCGCCACCGCCATTAACACATCAATATGTATCTTCACTACAACAACAGCAGCAACGGCCATTAACACAGCAATTTGTACCTAATATGCGACCACAGCAGCCACTACCACAACTACCATCAAATCTATTGACTCGGCCACCTGGTTTTGGAATCAATAATCCACAACCACAGCGACCAAATCAACAACAAAGCAATGTTGCTAGTCCATTAAATATGCCGGGCGATGGCCGAATATCTGAAGGTCTAACTTCGGTTTCCGCTATGCAGGCCGGTGGCTCATCACAGGTGCCGATCACAGGTTCAACTGTCGATGAAACTAATCAAGGGATGAACCCACAGTTTCGATTGAACTCGCCGTCAGAGCTGAACTCTAACTCACCATTGTTACCGACCAATCCACCAGTAGGCCAAATCCAACTTAGACCTCCTGCACAGTTAACCGAACAAACGAATAACGGGCAAGAACCTCTGAATAACGCACAAGAGTCAATGAGAAACCCTCAAAATAAATATCCGCAGCAAATGCCGTCAATGCAATATCCACCACTTAATCAAATTTCCATGAGGCCTATGATGGGTCAACAGAGACCATACCAACAACAATTGTATTTCAATGGCCACGCTTACGAAGCTCCGCCGCCAAACAACACACCAGGTTTACAGGGATATAACATTGGTTGGTACCAACAATAATAATTTCAATGTACATCACAGAATTTTAGTTACGTACAAGGTATAACACGATATCAATATATCACAACAGCAATAAAAAAATGTATAGCAATTCGTTGGCCAAGGTAAATCATGATATCTGTTTAAAGTAGACCTTCTATTAGGACCATCCTTTGGATTTGTGATGCTCCGTAAGAAAAGTATTGAGAAACCAAACATATATTTTTATTTTCAAGTTCCTCTAAAAACGTTATTATCTTTTTTAATATTGTTATATAAATTATAAAAACTGATTTTAAAACAAAGAACTTCAGAAGAATTGACAATCTTTTAGTAGAAAAAGAAATAATGATTTCAACATAGTAGATAATTAGATACGACCTAAACGACCTTAGTAGTTCGAACGATACCTACTATATTATATTTCTAAGAAGCAAATAAAAACTATGAGTAGGGAACAAAAAAGTTCTACAGTTTTTCGAAAGTATTATTATACCTCTTAGTTTCGTACCTTTGTCATGGGTAAGTTAGTAGGTACCATAATTGATCCATCAATGGCCATCATGGTTATTTACATTCACATAAAATTAAATATATTATCGCCTTTTTATTTTTAAGGGATTCTTTCGTTATTTTTGCATGTATGAAGCATAAAATGTTTTATAACATAAAATATTATCATTTTTGAAACTAATTTTCATAATTTGCATAGCCGGAAGAAGAGAGGGGATGCCTATTATCTTATTGTTATTCATTTTGTTAAATCGTTAGGAACAAATCTTTAAATAAAAAAAGATTGAAAATTTAAGTGGATTGTATGATTTTATTATAACTCGAATAGTTGTATAGTCGCTCGCTGTGCTCGGTACAACTTTCGATGCGTGACTGATTTCATAATACAAAATTATCACACGTAGAATTTAATACAAAAATAATGCTATATAGCCGAGATAGTGCACAACAATAGGATGATACCATTCGAGCGCTAACACATTTATTCAATTTATTAATGTAAGTACTCCCAGCCCTATCAAGTATCAACGTTTAATATAAAATTCTATATTGTTTATTGTTTGTTTATTACGGAAATAAATTCCAATTACATTTTAAATAAATATGTAAGAGTTAAAATATATAAGTTACATTAGTAGCTAGTTTGGGGAAAAAGAAGAGAGAGAAAAAAATACATACATATAAATCAAGTTATGTGTAAACTGAATAAATTAATGTATAATATAATATAAATAGAAAAAAAAGACATAAGAGTTGAAAATTAATGAATATATGAAGAGAGATCATTAAGTGAAYAGTGAAATAAATCTATATTATGTATGGAGTTTCCTATAGCCATTAGAGTATTAGAAGGAGAGAATGACATATATATTTGGATGAAATGTTTGGTGGATAGAAAAGTTGTTTTTGTCTAGAGTTTAGGGGATTTATTTTGAAACATAAGCGTTCGACAAGTTCTGGACAAWCTATAATATTGTGTAATAATTTATAAAGGAATTTTAAATTTAGTTGTGTAAATCTTTTTTCAAGTGGTAATATAGAGAWAAGCCTATTTATAATATTATAATCAGAATGAGGAGCTCTATAAATGTGACATTGAAAGCTTAAAAATCTTAAAAAATTATTTYGWATTTKAGAGAGGTCTTTATTTTGGGTTATAGAGTTAGTATGCCAAATCAAATTTGCATATTCCAGTTGAGAGCGTATTAATGAGAAATATAGCAATTTAAGAGCATGAGCATCGTGGAAGTCTTTACAAGTGCGCTTGATAAATCCTAGTTTGGATGATGATTTTTTAATAATATTATTAGTATGTAGTTTGAAATTAAGTTTTGAGTCAAACGTAACTCCAAGATCATTAATTTCATTAACTCGTGAGATTTTAATATTTTTCAATTTATAATCAGAGGTGATTGGTTCTTTTTTTAAGGAAAAGGAAATAGTTGCACATTTTTTGCATTGCGAGTGCAAATAATATTAGGTATACCTTTAATATATTTAATTATTATGTTATCTTCACCATTATTCCTGCGACGTTGGAGTTCATTTCTTAGAGATGTCATATGTTCGCGTTGCTTTAGTGTACGATCCGAGGCACATCGAATGTTGGTCCAATCGGATGACGATCGCAGTTTGGCTTGTGATCGTAAAACTGTGAGTGCTTCTAAGGAGTTGCGTAGAATGACTTTGAGTGGATGTGGTTTTGAGTTATCAATTTGAATTATCTTGCACAGACGAGTGCAAGAGAAGTCCGAAATATTTACTGCCATTATATTATTAAACATATTTTTAAGTTTGTCGTAGTCTTGTGGTTGATCCTGGTTTGTGGTTTCAGGTAAATTGAAGACAATAATATTGTTTGCACGTAATTGTCTATCAATTAATTCTGATATAATGTCTTGTTCATTTCCAATTGCCGTAGTTGGCTTTTCGATTTTCTCTATTTTGTCTTCAAGAGTTTTGATTTTTTCTTTAAGTTTTTTATTTTCTTCAGATAAAGTAGAGTCTGTATTCAATAAATCATCAAATTTTTTATTTAAGTTACTGAGTTTATCATTTTGGTTGTTTATGCAAGTAATAATTTTATTTTGTTGCGTTTTAACATCATTAAGTGATTTAATGATTTCGGCATATTTTTCATTATTCTCGTCCATAATGGAAAGAGATAAGATAAGAGAACATAAAAGTAAACGGCACACACAATCTTTTCATACGACTGCGACTGCGCAACTATATTTTTATGAGATGGATAAAAACCTAGGTATCTTATAATATTATATTTTCAGAGTTAAATGTGTATTATACCCCCGTAAATATGCCACTGATAACAATATGCAAGGAAAGTGCAATGATTTTTTTTAGATATATCATCCCATTAATGCCCCTGTCACCTTAAAAAAGGTCTGAAGTCAGTCATGACTCATGACTACGGCTATATATAGATACTATCACTATGGTTGCGGGACGGCCCATCAAACTGTATATCGAAAGCGACGAGGATAGTTCTACCGGATTTCTAATAGCTYTTAACCTTAGTGCTCCCAGTGAATAATAGCAGTAACACAGTAAYTACATGAGAAACATTGGTTTTGAAATTAAAACCTGAGTATGTTTAAGTTGTTGCCCCAGAAGCAGATCTTGTACATTTGAAGACAAGAGGATTTTTGACACATCCAAATAAAAATTCTTATATGATATCAAAATTAATTGAAATGTGYTTTGAAAAACATGCAGTCACCAAATGTATTTGWAGATACATGTGAAGAATTCTTTAGTAAAAACATAAAAGCTCACATTTCCATGTAGTGAACACAAGAGTGATGTACTTACTAATATATGTAATGTCATGTCAATGTAATAGTCATGAGATATGAGAATGAGACAGTTCATATATTCAAAAAAACTAACAAAATAAAAAACAGAATACATTTAAAAAAAAAAATYTAAATTAATAACTACATACATTTTCGTAATATATGATTTAATTTTATTGCTTAAATTCTATTGTATTTTARAATCGAAACYTGTCAGTTAATTTCAAAACTATTATAATTAATGGTATTTAATACAAAAATTATATGTCATATTTGATATTTATTTTTTTACAGTTTTTTACAATTAAATTTTCAACAGTTCAAGGTACCTATAAGTATATTATAGAATAATATTTTTGAACTACAAAACTAGATAGCGCTAGATGGTATTAGAAAGGCAGAAGAACTTTTCTTGACGTCTTATCATGAATTCATGAGTCGTCCCGCAACCATAGTATCTATAGCCGTGCTCATGACCGACATTGGCCATTCGAAGCGAAGGTACGAACAAAAATATTGTAGGTACCTACTTATTTATTTAAATGGACCAACGGAATRTTATAATCGTCATTATAACCAAAATAACATAAGCGTAGATAATTATTGTTGTACCGAACAAAAAACGATAGATAAGTAAAAAAAGAAAGTCGATAGAAAGATAATATTAACATATTATTATTGAGCTGCACATTCGTTGTTTACAGGAGACATGATGCAGYMTATGTATAATATGATGAATAATATGATACCGCAAAACGTCGACAAAATGTGCCAGTACGGAAGGGGAATCAAGGAGGGCTTGAGCAGAACGTTTAGCGAGGTGGCCGACAGAGTAATCAAACAGGGCCATTCGGGCGTGAAGAAAGTCTTAGGCATGGGCTCGAACGGAGCCGACGTTTTCTTTAACATCGGCCGGAAAATCTTAATCCCGAATCCCAAGAACCAGCAGGCCGGTGGTGGTCTCGGCGACTGGTATAATTCGCCACAGCAGAACATGCAACCGGGCAACGGCTTCAACCCCAAACAGCCACTGCCGGTTCAAATGAGCTACAATAATATGCAGCCTCGCCCGGCGGCAGTGCAGTTCATGGGAGGAAACAATAACGGTCGACCTCCCGCACAGGGCACCACTACACAGTTTATGKAGTACTCGCAACAGAGGCCGGAGCCCAACTACGCCGTGAATAATYCCACCAATCCCCCGCAGCCAATCATCCGCTACGCCACTGTCTAAGGACATCCTCTCGTGGTAYTCCATTGATTGTTCTTCCCAAGGGCAACCGATATCTTCAGCTTTTTCATATCCTCACCGTATGCACGTCACTATAATTTATGAAATAAGAAAAACTTGCATTGTTATTTTCTTAATATATTAGGGCTGCAATTTTAATTCGCAATGTTCCAATCATTATTATTATTATTTAGCATATTATGCACGAGGTGCACGATAAATGTACAAGAAATAGTGTCAGAAATTAAACAAAAGTTTTGTAGAAAACTTTTAAAAAGACAAAAGGATAAAAGTGTATTATTATTATACTGTAATAACAGACTAATAAAGTAGGTTAAGGCTCTATAATTTTATTATTCCAATACTATTGTCGTACTTTAAATAGGTAACTACCATCACTATTTTTACGATGTTTTTTTTCAATTGTACCTAAGTAAAAAGCAATTATTATTGGTTCAGTAAATCAATAAAAGTTACTCTTTTTACAAATCAACTGCACGTATAGTTTGAGTTTTTTATAATAATAAACACAATGGAGATGAGGGTACCACGTGGCATGTGCCCTAAGTATTATTACTTATTAGTGTTTATGAAATGGTACATATAAAACATAATATCAATTATCATGTGACTATATAAGTATAAAAGTATATGGTATATAGTTGGTATGGTGCATATTAAATGTATTTATTCATATAGTAAATAATCATCTATATTATTAATTTAAAAACATAATTGGACTTTGGGAACACATTTTAATTGCACTTAATTAATTAGATTTTAGAAGAAATAGTAACAAAGACGCAGAGTTCATATTTTATATTATACCTTATTAATAATAATTAATCTAGCAACTATAAAATATACAATTTACATTAATTTATAGGTAGTGTATCTACCAAGTGAACTTCATACACCGATGCCTGTGCAATTATAAGCATATAGGGCAGGTTGGTCGACAGCTTATAAAATGATATATCGAATAAAAATATTCCAAATACTTAATACAAATTCTAAAATATTTAGATTTTTTTAACTGTTTTTCATGTCTGTGTGATACTTAAAAATTCATGTATAACTTAAGCATTTAATTTCAAAAGATGGTTTGTTTTTTATGGATAATATTTATGATATACTAAGTATAATATACTTATTATCCTTACTTATTAAGTATCTAATTACCAAGTAGATAAAAGCACAAATCAATTTTTGTAAGTTATCTTAAAATTGTTCAAGTATGTTCAGCTTCTTTTACAATGTACATAAGTGTAAAAGAAAAATAACATATTATAAAACTATTATTTCACAATTTAATAAAAATAAACTACCTATACCTGTTCATAATAAAGATAATAATTAACTTCTTACAAAACATGCACATCTAAACTAAATAGTATACGCCTAAACCCATGAATACAACCCAATACATGATATTAAGTAATATCTGTGCCATGATGTTGTTATTAACAAAGGCAATAAAAATATAAATAAAAATACCTCACTGATACAAAAAATATTTGTGAATTTAAGAAGTGTGTATTTCATATTTAAATACTTAACAAAATTAAATTTTGTGTGCAAGATAAATGATTAAAAAGAAATAATATTAAAATTACTAGCTATATCTTGATTTTTTCACAAAAATAAAATAGATTATGTAAGATGAATAAACAATAATAAGCATAATATTATATTTAGTTCAAAATAAATGTATATTTATCAAAAATAATTCACTTGGAAACATTGTGTTAATGTATAAAGAAAAAAAAGAATGAAAATATGCGTCAATGACCAAATGTGAATAACATTGTCAATATAAAACTTTGTTTCATGATATACTAATATAGAAATATACAAATACATGTTTATGATGTTTATGTACCTATGTGACAATTGTTTCAATGTGATAACAATTATAATTCTACAATTATTATGTTTAATGACTATTCATTCCATTGTTCACCAATCATTATGAATCTTTACACTTAGAAATAAAATTGATCCACAATTTAATTGTTTTATACTTTATAAACTTACATCAAAAGTACATGGGATTATGAATGCAATATGTGTATCTATACGAGTATACCTAATTAGTAATTATTAAATATTCATAATAATTGGATAATAATATTGTATTGATTAAATAAAAAATAAATAACATATTATATTATATTATATGGGTTTAATTGAGAATCGTTAAAAGTACTATAAACGACTAGATTTAATTTAAAAAAATATATATTTGTTATGTACATACCTACAGCATTATCAATATGATGGTGCAGTTTGTACTAACAATTACAATTTGATTTTATATAATTGTGTTTAATTGAATAAAGTAACAATTTAAAAAGAAAATCAGTCATTAGTCATTACAAACATTTAACCAAAAAAATAATATTAACAAACYAAACATTTTCAAAAAGAAAAACAATTTTTTAATCTGGAATAATAATTAATTTAAGATTATTCTGTTTGAAGCAATATTTAGGCCATATAATATGTAAATAATTTAATACACACAAATAAAAAATTATTACGATTTCATTAAATTAAAAACATATTTTTAAATGTTGTCCCTTATCTATAATATTAGTCCTTAATTTAATATGCTTTTTGATTCAAATACTACAATACATAATTGGTTTTTTGTATAAAATAAAATGAAAATGTTTAAATTAAGTATAAATGCTATTGAAAATAAAATACAAATGGTTTTACAGCATAATTATTCTCCAAATAATTTTTTACCCAATTCCATGAATTTATGACCCCGGCAAGCTGTAATAGCATCTTTTTTCTTGAGTGTGKCTACCAAATCACTGTTTGCATCAATAAGCCGACACAGTAAATCTTCATAAGCATATTTAACATTGGTTGGGAGTGAGCCTGGCTTAATTTTCACCAACATGTCTATAATGCCTTCTGCCCAACCACTTTCAATTGCAAATTCTGATATCCACGGAACAAGGGTTAAGATGCCACTAAGATTTTGCATGCCCAAAAACCATAACTCTTGCAACTCGATCCATGATTCTTTGTAAGTCATAGTCACAACCAACTGACCTAATGCATATCGTGAATTGTTGCTATTTTCATCAACTGTATATGCATCCCACAAAAATCGAATGGTTGCCTGTATGTAACGGCAAATAGAAAAGTCGTTTTTCTTAATGTACTCAGTCTTCAATTTTAGTAGCAACAAACCCAAAACAGCCATATTACCATATACAACAAGGTTTTCGTGATTGTTTTTTAATTCAGGTAGATTATCAAACACAAATTTCATAAGAGTAAAAAACAATGGACTATTTTTCACATGATCTACTTCTAGTACACAGATATTCATGAATGTATTGCATATACTAATAATTGCCCCTCTTGAGTCAGCCATTTTTTTCAGACGTTCGGCTGGAATTTCGGGGTCTGGTCCTCTGGGTTTACTTCTCTCAGACTTAGGTATCAATGGTTTTTTATAGTGTGCAATTGACCAATKAAATGCCAAACATTCTAGTAATACATCTTCTTGTTTAATTTTTAATAATACAGCACGACCTTTGTCATCTACTGTTATGTGACACAAAGCAGGTAAAAAAGCTCTCAATACGTCCACAGAACTCAAAGGATCATATGTTGCTGACTTATCTTCAGATTTGACATTTTCTGATATGTAACGTGCACGATACGCAAAGAAAGATTCATTAGCAATCTGTAAGGCAAATGGCAAAATATTATTCACAGCAGGTTTCATTGCAGATATTTCTAATGTTAACCATGCGGAGAGTGACATGAGCATCAAACATACAAAACATTTCTCTTTAATTTCTAAGGGTTTCTTAGATACAGACAATGTTTTTAGAACGTTCAATACAGCAGTAAATGCTCCTTTTAGTGCTGTATATGTTTGCTGTTTTTCTTTTTGTTCTAAATCTAGAGTGTCAGCTGATAAAAACGCAATTGAAATTTCTAGAATTGTGAAACATGAACCAAGTAAATTTTCTGCAAGCAACACCTAGAAAAAAAACAAATTAATTAATAAAAAACATGATCGTACATTTTATATGTTTTTCACTAATAAAATATTCTCAATTACAATTATTTTGATAAAAAACAACAAAACTCCAATTTATATAGATAAAGCTTTAAATAAGGTAGGTAGGTACACAAATTGTATTTTAAGAATATTAAGTAAGTAACAATATTTATACTCAAAAACAATACATCGATAAAAATTATTTAATAATGAAGTACCTACAATCCATGGATATCCAATGGAAGACGGTTACTATAATAGTAATACTATTTAAAACATTTTATGGTAAGTTATAGGTCATATACCTAAATACTGAACTTGTAAAGAGTAAATTATTTTTAACAGAAATTTCAAACTAAATAATTTGAGTGTGGTTAAAAATTAATTGATAAATTATATTAAATATATCAATACTGATTAGGAAAATTCAATAAAATATAATATAGTTAACAAAATGTACTTAATTTTTGGTTCACTCAATAAATAAATTAAATAAATAACTAAATTAATGTTCTCCTTAAAATTATATTTTATACCTAGATATCTACTTATTAAATTTTTTTTAAAATAAATTTAAGAAAAAATACAAACCTATTATACACAACACTATCTATGCTTTATTGAAATAGATCAAACATAAAATGTTATGGGGTTTGATGGCTTTCTAGTAATTCTAACTAAAACACTTGGGAGTTATTTCACAGAAAATCTTTATCAATAGTTACAATTTGGCTCACAATTATACAGTGTGTTATCAAATAATAATTAAATTTTATTAATTCTGATAAAATGATTCTGTTGTATAGGTAGATAGGAACTTAAAATGTTATTGTAGGTACATAAACAGGTACCTAATGTACCTACAATATTTTTGAAAGCATAATATCATACATTTTAGAAACCAAATCAACTTTTATTAAACTAAAATGTAATAATAAATGCAATTATTTACCTAAACATTTATATAAAAATCTTAATAAAACATAAGAAGTAAATAATAAAATGAAGTTGGTACCTGTTCAAACTTTTTATCTTCTAAATGCATGCGTATTTCAATTGAAGCCAAATGTATTAACATCAAGAAAAATACTTTTGGTTTTGCTTCATCTTGTAGCGACCATTCAGCACCGAATGTGGTAAGCATTTGAGATGCTAACTTGATTGCTGGATCTCGTTGTGCTTTAACAAGCTTGCTAGTCAATATGTCTCGCAGCCCTAAGAATAATTTTGACGGCCATATTTCATTATCACAAGTATTTTGTACAATTTCTACAGGACAATTGCCTAATAAAGGTGAAAGTATTGAGCATAATTTAAATTTCCGTTCACTGTGGTCGGTTTCAAAATCTACTGCTAAGATGTTCATCAGTGTGTTAAAGTTTTGGACATTATTTTCCCAGGAAGGTGGACCAAACTTCTCGACGATGGTCACAAGCAATGACAACGCTTCATCTGTCTGAAAACTTTTTTGTGAGTACACTTTACACATTTTTCCTACCGTGTCAACATCAAATAGCGCTTTTAAGCCCTGTTCAAACGTTGCGATAAAGTTCAAACACTTGTAAGCCTCGTTAACCAGCATGAGGTTATCCTCGTCCGCTTCATCTTCGTCTTCGTCACCTTCGCCGAGCACAATATCTAGGAACACGTCCACATTCTGTAATATTTCTTGATGTGTGGCAACCTCTTGGACGTTGCACAGCGCCGTGAGTATGCTCATGGCCACAGACTTGTAAACGAACGGCGGACAGCCGGCCGGCACATCGTCGCTGAGCAACAAGCGTTTGATGAATTTGAACTCGATGGCTTCGAACAAGGCGAGCTTGGAGCGAGGGTTGCATTTCTCGGCCTTCACGGTTTTGGTGACCATGAACAGCGCGGCGAATTTTTCCGTGTCGGTTTTCGCGCCTTTAATGACGCCCACGCATTTTTTTACCGATTCCAGCACTTCGTCGCACATCTTTCTAAGCGAAAAAAAAATACAAATAAAAAAAAGAACACAAACGCGCGAAAAAATAATGCACACAATATWATTATGTATCAGACCGTTCGGTAAGAGGTACCTCTAACGCAYGGGCCGGGCGCACACGCACACGAGACGGCAACGATTGTATTGAATTTCCGCAGCGGCGAAACAGTCTGTGCGGCTCTCCTGTGTTGGGACGGATTTATCTATATTTAGCTCCTCGGAAGTTCACCGCCGCTCGACGGCAGCAGCCCGCAACTATGCCGGGACCGGTGCCAGTTTTCGGGGAATATTACATAACGGCTAATAATAATATAGGGCGGCGGTGACTGTTCCTCTCGTATCCGATCGGGAGGCGGCTGCCGGCTATAAGACACGAAAAAAAACAAAAACGGTGATGATAATAATAATAATAACAATAAAATAACCACAGACCTCACGACGAAATGGCCGGTGGCCAAGCGACCGGCGACGACGAACACTTGTGAATCGCGGTAGAACGACGGAAACGTTCGGCACGTGTACGCGTCGTCGTTATTATTATCGTCGTCATTATACGTGACCGTGCTGGTAGACTAATATTATTGAGCTTCGGCCAACGACGACGTTCGTCGTCGGTATGGCGTGTCGAGTGTTGCAATTATTGCAACCGAAACCGGCCGAATAAAATAATATAATTTATTATTTTCTCGTTTGGTCCGCGACACCATTTAGGTACAATGCATGCCTATAATTATATTATTAATATGTTATGAATTTATTGAATTTACATTTTATGATGCCATGATGCGAACGACCTGAGACCGGCTTGGCTTGGCGGCTTACCGCACGTCGTGCCTCGTCGATCGTCCGCATAAACAAACGCTGATAACACCGCCGACCGCCATTATCACTTATCAGCGTGTTATCATCGCTCGGCTGTTATCTCGAGTGTCGTAGTCGTACCGGCGGCGGCGCGCGGGGTAGTGGACGTGCCGAACGGAGAGATCCGACGACTGAGTTGAAACTTGAAACGACCGAGTTGAAACTTGAAACGACTCGAGCCTCGAGGTAAGAACTAAGAACCGTAACGGTTCATAGCAATATTTAAATGTGTGTTGGGYTTATAATTGGCATAATATACTTTTTAAATATACTTTTTTTTAACATACTTTTCTTATAAGTGTTTTATGCCATATTTTATTGATAGGTTTGTGGTACATTAGGTACTTAGGCGTGTTCCAGGGAGTTCATCACCCCTGCACACAATCATCTTAATACATTTTAAAATGATAAAGAAATAATGATATAACTAAAATCATAAAGAAAATTTCGGCTAATGGATGATATCATGAATAAAGATTCGAATAGGTGTTTAAGAAAAATAAATGTTTCTCTCGATAGCCACCATGCCGATTGCCGAGGGTTATATTTTAATAATAAGAAAATAGACCAAAAGTAGGACTGGTGAGGCAGCCCTCCACAACCGAAAAACATTGAGGTTCTACCTTCTACCTATCTTTTAATTCCTGGGATCTTAAATAATATTGTTGCTTATCATTTATTAGTTTATTACCTATACCTATCTAAAATTAAAGTAATCGAAAATAAATTTAAGCTATTCATTTTTCATTTTTCTCGAATTCCCTAGCCTCTAGATTTGGATGGTTTTGTCATGCAATATTCTGCATTCATGATTTGTTTTAATAYAACGTGAAAGAAGATGGATTACTCCGTAAAATTATTGGCAATATTTTATTACAGTTACATGGATTTAAATAAAATGCAATACAATTACTAGACACTGCATTACTGAATAACGAATAAGTAATTTCGTTACAGTAATTTATAATTGGAGTTACGTTAACACCCAATATTGCCTGCCTTAATAGATGTYAGYGAACTGTTAGTTTTCTCTCTCTAACCTACGCAAAGTAACAGCTGACATAGAAAGGTATTGAGAAATCGCGTTTAGAAAAACATTCTTTAGTAAGTTAGCTCATAGAACACTATATGGTTAGCTGTTGGTTTTTTTCGATATTTCTATTTTTATGTAATTTAATTTAATGAACATTTTTAAATTGTAATATTTTACATGTGTTCTTATTTTATTACTTGCATATAAATTTAAATAGGTAACGTACAAGCGTAGGTTATCCGTTATCTATATAAAATTAAGTTTTAAATTTAAGTTTAGTAATAGGTCGATACTCGATATTCAGGATTTACCTACTACTCTAATATTAAAGTTAACAATGCAATACGTACATTTTTCACATTATGCGTGATTCAGAAAGAGAGAGGGAGAAATAAAAATAAAATAGTTCATCGAAGCAATGGATTTAATCAAAATTATAAATTATAAATTTTTAATAACGATATATTATACAAATAACCATAAATCATAATATGATTGTTTCAYAACAATGTTATTGACGTTGCAGTTGGTTGAGTTTTGGTCTTTAGGTTTTAAATTTTAAACCTTTATGGTCTTTAGACGAATACAAATTTAAATATTCGTTCATTTGTTTCGATAGTGTGCTTTTAGTTTTGATATTAGGGTGGATTGACATCAGGCTCTATTATTTGTAAAATTTCGGAGTGCACACTTATAATTATACTGTTTCAATGGAAAGTTTATGCACTACCTACTATATTAGAAATAGCAATGTATTACATATATGTACATATGTATATAAATATAAGTAWAACAATTTAACAATACAATCGAATCAAACGACAAAATTCAGGAAATACTCATATTTTCTAGTATAGCTGGAATATTATGTAATTATTATTTTGTAGACCGTATAGTGCTCACGCCTTCAAATCGAAGTGCACACTTGTACATTCGTGGCGCACATAAAAATAGGGCCTGATTGACGATAACATGTCAAGCCTACAGCCTACAGCACACGCTTCACGGTCAAAAAGACCGAGCTTTTAGAATTTTGTTCATTGTTTCAAAAATATGAAATATTAACCTATCTCAATCTATGTACCTTCTAATTAGATGATAAACTAAATTGAGATACAACTCCTGACTGTTTACGATTTGATTGCATGTACTATAGAAGGGTTAAAAGTTCACTAAAAGGCCTAAAAGACCATGTGCGTGCTATAGGTATGTAACATTAATACACAACTTTATTTTATTAAAACTCAAAATATGGGATTTTTTTTAAATCTTCTATCGCCGATAAGATATTATTTTTTATCTATAAAACGTAAATGAATATTTTATTTTCATTGAGACCGGCAAGATTGTTGCTAGTTGACATTGGTTCGCCATACTGTGTGTAACTACGAAGTTTAATTTGTTTATATTATGTATCAATAAAGTGATTTAAAATTATTAATTTTAAAATTAATAAATTTAAATTTTTAAATTTTTGATTTAAACATTATTTAAAATCAATAAAATAATGATTGTTTCAATTTATCAAGTTTTAATTGAAATATTTTAATACACGGTCAAAACACCGTGTGCGTGGAACCTGGTGAATATTTTTAATGCGTGTGACAACACGCATGTGTTGTCTCCGTCTTACAAACGTACAACATATCAAAATCTGTTTAGCGCGGGACAATTTTACTCCCTTTGTATTTATAGTAGAATTACCAAAATTCCACAACGTATAGGGGAGAATATTATCTGTGCACCTGCGTCGTTATTTTTTTGATAGCACAAACCAATAATTTTTAATMATTAAATGATAAAACTTATGTTCTCAAATTGATAACTTAAAGTGTACTTATGTTATCAAAAAAATAGCGRCGCTATTRCACAGATAATATTCTCCCCTATACGWTGTGGAATTTGGTAATTTGACTAYAAAATACAAAGGGAGTAAAGTTGTACCGCKCTAAACAGATTTTGTTATGTTATACGTTTGTAAGACGGAGACAACACATGCGGGCGTGGCGTCCTCTTAATTTTTAGGTAAGAACATTATCTATGTATAAAAGTCGACATTCGGTATTTTAATTTTGAAAGGAGATATGAACATTTTTACATAGGTACCTACGCATGATTTGCTTATAAATTAAAATACCGAAAAATTCGCTGACCTAAAAGCACAGATAGTGTGTGTTCAGTGTTCTTACCTAAAAGCTTGATAATTGATATAAATTAAATCTAATATTAGAATTAATATAACAGCGCACTATTGAAATTGTTGAACGAAAATTTGTTATGTCATCACGGTCGTACGCGTAAAAGATAAAAACAAAAATTAGTGCTCTCTTAATTCCCTGCATTAATATTAAAAATCTCAATGTATTATTTATAGATATAAATATCTATAGTTATAGGCACACTGCATAAATTAATAATACAAAAACAATAATATTGTTATTACATATAAAAATATTAAAGTTAATCAATATTATAAGTTATAAGTTATTATAAGTTACCATACTATACACACTGCGTATGAAGTATAGTATTATAATTTGTGAGTGTGTGTGTGTCATACTGTGTGGTGGATATCAAAAGACCTTACATGGCGGTCGGCGGACATTATAATATTTTCGTGTAAACTCGCAAAAACAGCACAAGGTTTCTTTGACGAATGCGCGGTCCATTTAATGGAAACATAAATAAATCTAAAAATACTGCCAATGTTTTCTTGACGAAACTACGACGACTATCGTTTTAATTCTATAATAATTATACCGCCCACAAAAAAATTAATAATACACTCATGACGTACACATAATATAAAATTATTACAATTTAATATTATTATAAAATTGTGTTTGTACTTTATAGATACTTGCATTATATATTTATATTATGCTATATACGGGTGTGTCGCGCGTGCGCGTTTGTGTGTACAAAGGAGTCTCCCCTGTATCATGTAAGTATATTATTATACATCCGGTAGTCACCGGAGTATCGGTGTAAATATTGTGTAATATGTGACACGCGTGTACGCAAGTTAGGTATATTAAATTCAAAAGTTATAAATAATTTTAATGTTGCAAAGTGCTATACACATTTACTAAACAAAATAAAAAATATATTCACTAACTAAAAATGTAATAATATTATAACGAAACGATATTTCAACGGTATCATCCATTATTTCTATTTTTATTCTAAAAAAAAGTACCTAACTGATAAAAATATTTTGCAAAAAATGCTGATGCATAATCCTTTTATCGAAGCTCAACTTAAAAAAAAAAAAAACAAATGTATTGTAAAAATGAATTCAAATTGTAGTCATTAATAATTAAGGTAATAAGTTATTTTATTTTATTTTATACGTGACGCTAACATATTATGCTGATTAATTTATTGCTTAGCCTTTTTTAATGACTTTCCACTAAGGTTTATTACTGCAGTACTGCAGTCAGCAGGCAACTGAAATATGTTTAAATACGTAGGTACTTGTACTAATATATTTTGTCATTATAACTTATAATAAATAATAATTATTAATTGGGTATTATAGAGAAAAATAAAGGATTTACTCGTGATTACACGGAGAGATTGGTTTTTAGGTGTTTGCAGAAGTGGTGTGTAATTTATTTACTTACTTTTTGTGATCTTTTTGATCCTGAATTTTGKGGGAACGATTGTTATTACTGTTTGAAGTGAAACATCATACTACACTTTRTTAATATTAACATAGCGCMTAAATAAATTAACAATATGACTTATTTATTTATTTATATATTATATAAAAATTAAAAATATAACAATTAGTTCGAGAACTKATAGGGGAATCTATTAAAAAATTAGATGTTTTCACGGTTTAGACTATCCACGTATCAACTATACGATCGAATAAGTTAGTTACCGAGTTATGAACGTTCATTAATCGCGCGTATTTAAAAGATTTTTTCTAATAACTTTTTCAGATGACAACTTTTAATCTTTTATAAAAAGTGTTATCGGTAGTATATACCTGTTACGTTATATCTATCCAGATAGTGAGGAAAAGTAGTGCTGTATAATAGCTAATTGAACTAATTTTTAATTATATCGTATACTTAGGTGTATA